TCTCTCTTTTTCTCTCTCTCCTTTAAAAAAAAAAAAACTTGTGGTGCAGAAAGTTGCTCGATCCCTTTTGTTTGCTCCGAAACTCAGTGCCTTCTGGATTTGAAAATAAGTGCAAGTGTCGTTTTGGGAAATAGGGCTTGCAACGTCCTGCCTGGAGAAGGAGGAGGCGGGCAAGAGAGTGTTCCCGTCTCTCTTTTCTCTCTCTCTTTTTCTCTCTCTCCTTTAAAAAAAAAAAAACTTGTGGTGCAGAAAGTTGCTCGATCCCTTTTGTTTGCTCCGAAACTCAGTGCCTTCTGGATTTGAAAATAAGTGCAAGTGTCGTCCCATCTTTGCTTTCCTGCCCCCCCCCCCGAGCCTAGATCCTCTCCCCACACACCCCGTTTCTGATTACATTGATCTCGATAGCAAGCGTTTTTGTGCCTGCCGCCCAGTACTAGAATGCAAGTCCTCTCTGGGAAAACTGCGACTTAAATAAAGAGTTCGGGCAACTTTTCTTTCTAGCTTCCAGCGCACCCCCTCCACCCCCACGGCCATGGCCAAAAAAAAAAAAAAAAAGCCCTTCTGCACCAGCAGGTCTTCAGATAATATTCCCACCCCACCTCCACCTACAACTCTATGTGACAACATTTTCTCAATGGAAAAACATAAAGCTTGACCTGGGATGTGTGGTGTGCGTTTTTTTAAACAATGTATCCCTTTCCACCTCTTTCTGTATAACTCTTTGCTAGAACTTGATTCCCCCCCCCCTTTTGACAGTGGTCTCACAAAGTTTGGTTCTTTAAAGCAAATTTGAATCTGTTCATCTCTTCTAACATTTGGGGGCTTTTTGCTGGGAGGGTGTGCCATCACACACCTTCGGTTAGCAGGACGTAGGGATGGGTTTTGGGATAAAATTCTTCAAGAGGGAGACCTACTTTATTTCCTGCCTTTGTGTGGGAATGTAAGTATATATTTGGACAATCTCTGTATAAGAGGGGAAAAGGGGGGTTAGGGTTCATTCTTGAGGGTGACAGAGAAGCTTAAGTATGGATAACTTTTGAGCACTTGTAGGGTTCAGTAACCCACCAAAGCTTTACCTCCATAACCTGTAATCAATGGATTTGTTTTGGCAAGTGAATTATGTAATCCAGTTTAATTTAGTGAAGAATACCTAAATTCATTGTAGGTAGAAGATAACTCTAATGCATGCTTTGTAGTCTGCTTCAAGCTTCTGTAGACTGTATTTCAGAGATCAGCTCTAGTGAAAAGTTTTACTTGTATAGAACCTAAATTAGATTTCTTGATTAGCAAATATTTTTTAAGCACATGTTCCCAACATAATGCATATGAATACTCCACTTTTGAGTAGGCCTAGGCCATTCATTATGAAAATTTCAGACATATTTCCATTTTATGTCTGCTGTAACTTAGGGCCATTCGGTTGCAAAGTACTATGCATTTTCATTGCATATTTTAATATGGTGTTTAGGAGACCCCTTTGTAAAACATAGCAAGAACTGCATATAGAGAGCTAGAATTGTCATCGTAAAGGAAGGCTTAAGTATTTATATAAACATCTCAAAGCTTATGTATGTTAAAGATTTGTCCAGTCTGAATTAAAGAATGGTCATAAAGCACGATTACGCAGCTAATGGACTAGGACAAAATACCTGTTAAAGAGTTATCTACTACCTACTCCTTCACTGTAGGTGATTTGCCTACTTGCTCTTTATGAAACATTGTCTTGGTGTTATATTAACAGCTTATGATAGACCTATATGTGAGTGGCTTATGTAAGCTGTGAGAATTTCCAAAACTGGCTAAATTTCAAACACAGCGCAGTAAATGTATTGTTTCCGAAGATTGCTAGAAAAGAGTAAACCTTTATTGTAGGACTGTTGCTGCTGCTGATATTATTTGTTTCTCATTTTCAAATACACATCAACAACTTTTTGCTCTAGCCCAGAACACAGTTCACAGTTGTGTTTAAACTACAGTCCTTGTGAACTGCAAAAGAAGATTATGAAGTCACTTCAGTTATTTTCTTCTGAAAATGCTAGTATGTCAACTTCTGATCCTAAAACATTTTAAAAATTTCAAATAGGCGTAACTAAACTTTTGGAGAAGTTGTAGTCCTAAACTTGACCCAGGAAAAGAAAAGCATGTGTCCTTTTTTTATAGTGCTTGCTGCTTTTGACTGTTGTATGTGATTCATGGCAAATACGTGACTGTTCGTAAATTCACCAGGAATACCTTAATAACTGGGTTGGGGGGAATAATATAAGCAACATCATAAGGTCAGATGCAAAGAAATAAATTGTCTCAATTTGTGATTATAATTATTAGTAACTTTTCTAATAATAAAGGCTTGGCTTTTTTGGAAGGTAATATATTTGAAAGTTAATTTGGAGTTCGTTCTTTTTGAGCAATTAACTTCTCATATATCATTTTGAAAGATACCATTTGAATAATGGTTCTTGTATAAATAATAATGAACTTCTTAACTGCAGCATAACCTGGAGGCCATGCAGTGGATTTCAGGATTTTTAGCTAGGATTTTTAGCTAGGATTTTTCTAGATATGTACATTGGGCTTGGCTTTACAGTAGAGTACTTGAAATATAGCACGGAAAGAATTTTGTAAGAAGCGGTGAGTTATTGAATTGTAGAAGTACAGTAGTTCATAAGAGGCAGCCAAGTTGTATTCTAAAAAGCATCAGGATTTGACAGCATTTATTTTGGGATGAATTATGTCTGTAAATGTTTCATGGGTCATAGAGGATAGCCTTTCAGATATGGCCCATTGTTGGCACTCTTCGTTATTCTAAAGTATGTTTCTGGGTACATGGAAGAAGCCTTGGTATGTCTTGCATCTTGCTGAAGAGTTCAGTTCAGTTTGCCTTTGGTGGCATTAGAAATGGGCTTGGAGGTTTGTCTTTTTTTTCTTCTTCTGGAAGGGGCAGACATATGTGATAGTCTTCTCTTATTCCTTTCCCCCTTACGTCAGTACTGTGATATTTCTTTTGTACTTCTTTGAAATATAAAGTGTTTCCCCCCTCCACCTGTGGGGACTTGTGGAAACAGTCATTATTTAAAATGTTCATTTTATGTTAAAGAAATCTAAACTTTCATAGAAGTATCTATCACTCATTCAATATCTAGGAATATATTTATCCAACTTCCCATTGTTTCTAAGAATGTTTTCTATGCAAATATACAACAAAACCACACTTGTCCATTATATTTTTGATACAGTTCATAACAATTGTGGTGTATTTTTATATGGTACATAGCAATTAACTGTTTGTGAGCTAGAGAAGAATATGAGGTTCAGATCATGACAGTTTTTTAAATAGCACACTTCTGACTTGTCCGCCTCGTTGGCCTTCATCTCTGTATTTGCTTGATCACTCAGCATTCGAGACCTACTAAAGGATTGCACAAGAATGCTTTTTTGAAAGAAAATTCTGGAATTATTTTGATTAAACTTGCAGATTTTATGAATTAAGAAATTGAATTAAACTAATAAGTAACTTCACAAGGCTTCCCTGTATAAGTACTTACACATTTATGTATAAGGCGAATGTCTATGAGTTCTTCCAGTATGAAAAACCAGATGTAGACAGAAATAGTGCCTCTTGCAAAGATAACTCAGAGAAGTCATAACATCTTGCAGCTGTGTGTATGCAGGATGAGATGTTTTGATTGCACACCTTTTTTTCCTATATGTAATTTTGTAACCAAGTGCAAGCATAGAAATAATATTCACAGTTACTATAATATATTTCCATCTGGCTTTTGCAGCATTTGCTCTATTTGATTTTTGAGAAAAAAAAGTTTACTCACTGTCCTCTCTTGTCCATTGACTTAGGAAGAACTTTTAAATGACCTTTCTATATTTACAAAGAAAGAAACAAGTCCTATTATATAAATCAGATAATGGTTTCGGTAACACTGTTTTATTCCTCTCCCAATACTTTTCCGAAAAACTGGAGCAGACCTTGATTTTAAACAGCATTTTATCATATAATGCCAGTACAAACTTTATAGCCTCCTAGGTTGTTTAATAATAATAATAATAAATACTAAAATGAAAGAAAAGTGTTAACTGTGCTCAAGCCATGTTTATTTAGTATACTGTTACAGTTTTACACATTAAAAAAAATCTAAAAAGCTTTCCAAAAATCCATAATTCAATGATTTTCATGTAATATCTTACTATATACATTTGGGAAAAAATGGCAACATGTATTATTTTCTTTGTTCTTTTCAGGAATCACCCATTGGATTGGTTTTATGCAGTCAGTTACAATCAACATTATTTAATGTTAGAGATGGCTGTATCCAGGAAAATTTTCACTGTCATGCTTTCACTTTCCAATAATGACTGGCATTGAGATCTTCAGATTCTGCCAGATTGGCGGACATATCATGCATTGGCCACACCATTCACCAAGGGTTGGGAAAAGAGCAAATAACTGTTTCCATTCATTGAAATAGCGTTCAGGTCATAACAATTCAGACTTCAAATCATTGATTCTTGAACAGGCCTGTTCTGAAGCCAGTGATTTGAGATTTATAGCCTTAAATTCTGATCTGCAGTACATTTACTTAGATATATGTCCCATAGGATTTAACTGGAAATTTATCTGAATGTGATCATGATTGGTGTTGTAGGATATTTTCAGAGTTTATGTTTAAGCAGTTTATTTGAATTGTTTTATTTAAGCAATGTATGTTTCTTAGGTAACTTAAATTAAAATTTGTTTAAATTTTGAAGAATGAGACCAAGTGACTACAGAAACCCGGGTGAACAAATAAATTTTGGAGATTTTCTGAATTTTTCATCAAGCCTGCCTGTATACTTCCATGTCTTTCAGTATATTATGTAGATACCTGCTGCTGACGTTGAGGTGCCTGGGTCATTCCTGCATTCTGATAACCTTTAAGGACTTGCTTCTAAGTTATGGCAATATTTGGGAAATATTTGTTTTAATGTATTTTTTTTAAAATTCCTTCCAGGATGAATTCCATCCCTTCATTGAAGCACTTCTACCCCATGTCCGAGCATTTGCATACACATGGTTCAACCTACAAGCTCGAAAGCGGAAGTACTTTAAAAAACATGAGAAGCGCATGTCGAAAGAAGAAGAGAGAGCTGTGAAGGATGAATTGCTAAGCGAGAAACCTGAGGTCAAACAAAAATGGGCATCCAGACTTCTGGCAAAGCTGCGAAAAGATATTAGGCCTGAGTACCGGGAGGATTTTGTTCTAACTGTCACGGGGAAAAAATCTCCTTGTTGTGTGCTTTCCAATCCAGACCAGAAGGGCAAGATGAGAAGAATTGACTGCTTACGCCAGGCAGATAAGGTCTGGAGGTTGGACCTTGTTATGGTGATTTTATTTAAAGGTATTCCGCTTGAAAGTACTGATGGCGAACGCCTTGTAAAGTCCCCACAGTGCTCAAACCCAGGGCTGTGCGTACAGCCCCATCATATAGGGGTTTCTGTTAAGGAACTCGATTTATATTTGGCATACTTTGTGCATGCAGCAGGTAAGTACCGCTATCCCAAGTTGTTCAACTTTGAATAGCCTTTTTTGAGTTTATGAGGTAATAGGTTAGATCATCGGGTTTTGTACCTGTACCAGGCTGATTGGCAGCATGGCTCTGATAGTGGCTTCACATGTAACCGGTAGTTGAGTGGATGTAGAGATATGGTGTCATGTTCCAACCATCTCTGATAAAACACAGTTGTGAAAGAACAGTGCCTTCATTTTGCAATCTAACCTTCTGTATATGTACAGAAGTGCATTTTCGAAAGTGTATCATACGCATATTTACAAAATATATGGAAGATAGGGCAACGGTTGCAAGTCAGAGTGTTGTGTGCTTTGTAGAAGTAAACAGTACTTCTCTGATAAGCCCCATCCAGTTTTAAATGGATCGAGCATCCTAAATGCAACCTTAGGGGAAAAAAAACCCCAGGATTGATGAATCGCCATGGAGGTACGAACTGTTGATTTTAGTAGTTGTGAATAAAGAAATAGCTCCTTAATGGAAGAGGAAAATTCAAAATCAAGTTCTTCATAATTGTGGTCTGTATGGGAATGTGATTGATTTTAATGGATAGATTGCTAGTTTAGCGGTGTAGACGTTATTTTGTTGTTTCAGTTCTTAGCACTAACTAATTCTGTCTGAATATCAGTACACCTGTGGCTGGTACCAGACAAGCAAAGCTACTGAGCAAAAATAATATAATTTGCAGTGCACATTTTTCTTTTGTGCTGGGCAAATTGTGTTAAGTTAGCTTCTCTTCTGAGTCATCCAGGCTAACACTGGCAACTGTTTGACCTTTCAGAGCAACCTACTGGTCTTACTGTAATTTAACCATACCAAGATTTTAGACGGGGTTAGATTTGGAGAGGAGGAAAAGCTTAATAATTTTAATGCATGTGTATTTATAACCTACTGTTTTAAATGCAACATATGTTGGTGGCTATTGGATGGTCTCATACAAATGTCAAATTGACCTTTGCTTTGTTATGACTTCTTATGTGGCAGCACTTTTGGAATTATTGGCCTGTATAATTTTTTTTTTGAGTTAGCATTTCTAGAAAGGATGATATGTGTTGACTGTGCAATTATATGAGATTTTTACTATTGCCAGTTTGTATTTCTAGTAAATGAAGGGTAAAAAATTATTGGCAAAGGTGATTTTTGTGTGTGATGGAGGAAGGTTTTATTTAGATTTTAAAACATGTATCAGTTTTGTTTCATTAATTAAGTATGCATCCACAGTAGGCTGTTGGTTCAATTTCATTGTATGATTTTCTGTGAGACTTGGTTGATGAACTTGCTCTGATGGGCTCATAATATGGAAAAATGAGTAAATAAATGAAAGCTTTAAGATACTGATAATTAAGTAGATCAGTTTTCTCTAAAATATGAGTTATGTGTTAGCAATTTTTGTACACCTGTTGACTAAAATGTTTTAGGTTGAGCTTTCATATAATCCATGGTATTTTGATATTCATTAGAATCATTCTCAAAGTAAACTGTAATAATAATTTAAAGTATTAAAATCAATAATTTACAACAAAACAGTTAATTGGTTATGAAAATTTTACTGAAGGTATTGTTATAGAATGCATCATGGAAGAAGACATTAAGATACGAAGCACATTTCAAAAAAGTAATCATTATTGGTAAATTTTGTAATGAGCTTCTTAAATTTGAACTTGTTTTTCCTTTCGAGGCCAAGGTAAATGTTTTAATCATGTTTTTGCTTGCAGGAACTATGTTTTGAAGGGTATTTATGTTTGCAGATCCTTTAAAAAAAAGGAAAATGTTCACATTGTAACGCTTCCTTTTCAATGTATATAATGTATCACCCTCTTGTTGAGTAGTTCATTGTCTTGTAAAGAATATTTCAATAATGCTGTATCGTTGTTTGTGTGTACAAAATACTGTTGATCAGGGTAGCCTCACTGCTCGTGTATGTGGGAGAACGGTTGTAATGGCTGTCTTTTTCTCTCAGATGTATCCCAGAATCCTTTGTTACGAATGAATGTTGTCCAAGTTTTTAGTGATTGGTTCTTGCAGAACCGCAGTAGTGGCAACTTCTACTGTATGCGCAACAAAAGCATTATAGAGGGAAGTTCTTACGGTCCCTTGTTCATCAGATATTCCTGATTTGCTTTAAGACATTTACTGCAATTATGCTGAGGAATTATCCAGTGTGAATATATAAATTATAGGTTAGTTGGTCATTTTATATACTACTGAGTTGAAGAGCATCTGCTGTAACTCCAGTGGTCTGCATGAACAGAAAACTGTGTTTTTATCTATTTAAAAGTCTTGAGAAGTAGCCAGTGTTGGCAAGAGGTTCAGACTGTAAAACGTGCGTTCAGATACATGCCAAAACCATTGTAGCCTTTTCACCCAATGTGCCGTTATTTTGTATTGTTAAAAGATGCTTGAATTTTCAGTGATTTCTGCAGTAAGATGTTCCTTCTATCCTTAAATATGTATTTATAAGTACTGCTTGCTGACTTTTTTTTTTTTTTTTTGAATAACACCTCCTAGGAATAGGATGTAGTCATCTGGAAGATGCTAAACAATGCTGCTTCTTCCAAAGTTAGGCTGATTTGCAAAAACAGCTATTCTCTTGAGGAAATGTTAGGGGTGGGGGTGTCTAAAATGTAACAGTTATGTATTGAAGAAAACCAGAAACACCAGAATTTTTGAACAAGGAGGCAGGTCATGTTTACTTTATTTTTAAAAGAAAGAAGTTTAAAGAGTTTTAGTAACTGCAACAAAAAGCAAGCAAGTGCAGCTGAACCATGCTGCCTGTAACTTTGGATTGCTCTCCTCCCCGCCCCCCCCAGTTCTCCAGCCTGTGTATCAAATGACAAGTTGGAAACTATTGTGGTAAATAGTATTCTTTGTGGGAGTGTAACACCCAAGTAAATTTATGACCAGTCCTTTACCAGATGATCTGTATCAGGATCTGCAATATACTAGGCACGTGGCAGGGTCACCATTTAAGTTGTTAGGGTCATAACCTTCGCCACCAGGCATTTGACCTTTGAGATAAAGTTAACCTTTGTTCATTAGTAGGCACTCAAGCGAGAACTTCCTTGTTTTTTACTGCAGTAGAGCCAACTTCAGCTAACACGATCACATTGTAAACAGGGATTCTCAGCTCAAATATTGGGTTCTGTTAAAGGTTTTTTTTTAGTTTCCTTGTTAAGACTTTTCGGTTGGACAAAGCTGGCTTGCGTTTTGTCAGACTACACAATCAGAAGGTGTTTCCGACCATAGATTGTAACCGTGCAAGTGTGTGCAGGTTTACTCAGAAGTAAATTCCACCACCTTCAGTGGGGCACACGCTCCAGTGAGTGTAGCCAGCATCCCAGCCTAAGTTCAGCAAAAGATTTAATTTTTAAAAAATATGTATAAAAATACTAAATTATTTTTTTTAAATAATCTGATCATAGCATACTGTTTGAATAGGTGCTTTTTCGGTAGATCATAATCACGTTAAAAACTGAAGCCAAAGTAGCGACAGGGCTAATTTAATTTTGGTTGACTGTGGGAAACTGTTCAGTTCTGGAAATAAGCAACTGCAATAGAAAAGGGTACCCTTTGTTTAACCTGAAATAAACCAATGTGGCTTATAAGGGCATAATTTCTGAACTAGTCCAGATATTCACAACAGTGAAGCATAAGAAGGAAGCCTTTGATAATGAAGCCTTCTCAGTGGCTGCTCCCAGACTCTGGAACTCCCTGCTAAAGGAAGGAATCCTGGTTGATTTTCACTCTGTTGTCCTTATGCTAGCAGGCCAATATATTTTTATCCAGTCATGTGGAAGCCAATCTCTGGCTGAAGGGGTTTAAACAGGTTGGGGGCTAACTGTGTCTTTCATTAATGTGTTGTCAGTCATGTTTTTAAATTGTTTTTTTTTTAATGTTATGTTGTAGTTAAGATTTTGTATTTAGTATGTACTGTATTTTATTCCTTTTTGGGGTAAAGGAAGGGTAAGTATATGAAATAATTATGTAGATAAAATGTATTTGGATACCTTTTCAATAAATGTGGCAGCATTCCTTTGTTGTAAATTCATAACAAACTTGTAATTTCATATTGTACATTTTTTGTGACATTTATAATTGCTGCAGTCATCTTGATAATAGTTACAGACCATTTGGTATTTAGCAGTAATATGAAAGCTGTTGTAAGAAATAGAGCTGTTACAGCATTTTGCATTCTTCAGTGTTGCTGCAAAAAGTATTATTATTATAAACAATGTCTGATTTCACCACATTATTTCCATAACTTTGTTGGCAGTGCTAACTTTCTCCCATTAGTTAACATTTTAAAATTTGTTCTTTTTTTCCTCCTGGTTCAGTATTTGTGATGTAGTTCAAATCAGACAAAAGCAAATGTTGTTTCTTAGCTAGGGTGCATTCTCGTAGGTTTTTGATGGCTGTTGCCATTCTGTCGTATGGTAGTAGAGTTATTCATGATTTGCTGATTAACCAGATGGCCATAGTAACAGATTGAGAACCCGCTCCCTATCGCTATAAAGCAGGTGCAATATCACTGAGATTTTTAGTTTCTCCCTAAATGCTATACTTAGAGTAGGTCTCATTGAATTCTGTGGGTCTTATTTCCCATCCTCCTCTGTTTAATTTTTTTCATGCAGCTCAATCATCTGTTTCATTGAGCTTTACTATTGTAAGTTCAGTGGTTTTAGGTATTTGGCTGTAGAGTCAGAGGTTGGGAGTTTGATTCTCCACTGTGTCTTCTTGGCAGGAACTAGACTTGATGATCTGTAGGATCCCTTCTAGCTTTGCAATTCTAAGATAATGATGATTTTTATATGTTTATAGCTACGTCTACTTTGAATCACATTGTCAGCTGTCTTGGTTCCCAGTATTGAAGAAAAGGTGACATATAAATAGAATAAATAGATACCTATAGGGATTGAGCTAGAAGTGGTCAATACATGAACGTTGATTTTTCAAGTATTATCTAGAATCACTGTACA